AAAGTGCTTGCGTAGACAAATTTAAGAAAATTTAGAAAAATAAAATTTGCGTTATTACACATGCCTTGTAAATATATTAAATTTTAAAGCACATCATTAGATGATATGCATTGATTCCCTTGATAATAAATCATTTCTTTATTACTAAAGTTCCTTAATTGTATAAAAAATAAGTAATGTCTGGCTCAGTGGATTCATCTCATCAAGATGCTTGATTCGGCTATAATAATGTAATATTTAGAGACCATTTGACCATCCACTTAAAGTTTTGATGTTTTCAATTACACTTCAAGTGATTTATTTGTGCTAATTAAGACACAGATTAAAGCACTTTTTTGTTTGTCTTGTTGAAAAGTTCAGTTCAACTACAATTTTATTGTAATTAGAGTTCAGATTGTCCTATATTTAATTTCAAAAACTTGATCAAGGTGATTTGAGATTGTGTATTGACTATCATACTTATTACAACAACAACATCTTCAAACCCTTATCCCACTACTTGGGGTTGGCTACATGAATATTTTTTCTCCATTGTGTCATATTAATAGTCAAATTCTAATTTAGATCTAATAAAAAAGGTAATTTCTATTTTATAACCAAATCTTTTTTAAGTATACCTTTACCTTTCATAACATAGGTCAAATCTAATACATCTAGTCTCCAAATCGGGTCATCGGAAGGCTGTCGTTTTATGTGACCAAACCATTTAAGGCAACTCTCTCTAATCTTATCTACCATTGGAGCTACTCTAACCTTTTCACATGTATGCTCGCTTTTTATCTTGTCTTTTAGAGTAAAGCCACTCATCCACCTGAGCATCCTCATTTCTACAATACATAACTTCACTATCATACTTATTATGTGTTAATTTTTTTTTGTGATGATAGAAATTGAATTTTAATGACTTAGCTTTCAGAAAGATCCAACATACATACATAAAAAAGAATAAAATCGACATTATAATATTTATGTGGAAAGCCCAGAAAGTGGAAAAAACCATGAGGCCATATCTATAGGAAATGATCCACTATATAAATATGTTATAAGAGTATATCATTCCCCTTAATTGGACAAAATAGATTGACATAATATGCAAAACAAGTATGTAATTCTACAAATGTGGGAGAATGCTATAGATGCAACAGTTGGATGATGTTAGCCGAGTGACATTGGTTGGAAAATAATGGCATCCATATGATGGTGGTCGAGAGATGTCAGTTTAATGAGAGTAGTTTAGCGATGATAGTCAGGTACGTTTGGTTGGGCAATGACAGTTAGATGATGATGGCCGAATGACGATAGCCAAAGAATGATGTGGCTGGCATGATATTTAGACTGAAATGTTAAATAGAACTTCAAAGTTCTTCAAATCTCTAAGCTCTCTCAAAATTCAAGTCTAAGTTTCTTTTTTGTGAAGAATGAATATCTATTTATAATATTTTTTGGGTGAGAATTCTGATAAGTTTAATCAAAATTTCATAACACTCCATCCGACAACTCATATAAATATTTTGATTATAAATTTATTCAACATTTAAGTGCTTTTATGACCTTTGAATCGAGTGATATTGAGCTTGTTGGATTCGTCTTGTCGAGCCGCTCATTTCTAGTATATGCATGAAAGATTCGAAGACAATTTCGTCTGTCAATTAATGTCCCAAAGCTTCCAACTATATTTAAGTGTATGATTTGTGCTTATTTGTATATAGATTGAATCATCTTTGATGTTGTTACATTTATTTCATTAAGACGCTCAAATTGGCTGTAAGTTTATTGAAATCGGTCTTCGATAAATTGTATTAATTCTTAAAGTTTTCAAACATTATAAAAAATTTCTTACTAATAAAAGTGAATTTTTTTAAAGCATACAGTGCTAATAAATAATTTCAATTTTTTTTTTGCAACCCACAAATATAATAAAAATAATCAAATTAAAATATGATGACTATCTAAAAAATAAATAAATAAGAAAATAAAAAAATTATGCTAGAATATCTAGAGATAAATTATATTAAGAAAAACTTTAGGTCATTAAATTAATTTAAAAATTAATTTAAAAGTTTACATACACATTAATCTAAAAATCAATTGATTAATTTTAAAGTGAATTTAATTTTTATCAATATTCTCATATAATATTTTTCTCAGCACTTAAAAAAAAAAAAAACTAAAAAGCTTTCAGCAGAAAACCGCCGACAAAATTAAGCTTAAAAGTAGCAGCCGCGCAGGGGTGTAAGCGTAAATTCGTAATGATTCACCTTTCTCGTAGCGGCCATTTCAGTACGTCCCGCGCAGATTCCAATAGTTTTGTGCTTTGAATGGAGACGATCGAAGCTTTTTTCCTGTCATCCCCGATTTGGATTTCTTTTGTTTGGGAGAGTGAAGTGCCGAAGTGCGACTAAATCCGATCTTTTCTTCTCTCTCACTTGCGCGCTCGGGTCTCCATTCTTAACCCTAGCCTTAAGCATTTATTGTGCTTCGATCTGCTTAGCTCTCAGTATTACTGCTCCAGCCGCTGAAGGCAATAATGTAAGCAAGGGTTCCGTTGCTTGTTCATATAGCATTACTCTTTGAGGTTGCGAAGGTTCAGGCAAGCTATATGAAGGATTTTCTTCAGTTTGCTTGCTATTTTTTAGCGGTTCAATGCTTGAGCACATGGCTTCGGTTTGTTTATGGCTTGGGGAGATGCGTTTAGGGTTTCGTTAGGTTCTGCTGCGCCTTTCCTTGGTGATTCGGCATTATAGTTAATTTACTAATTTTATCCGCTATAATCCTTTTAGCTTGCAGCTGTTTGGCCATATTTTCCTCTCTTTTTTTTTCCTGAAGTTTAATTTGTGTTGTTTTCCAAAGAAATAAATAAGAAGAAGATGGTCTATAGCAGCTTCGATTGGGGTTTGTGAAGCTTTCCAGCATGGTGATTAAAAGAATTATGAAAGTGATATTTAACTAAGTTGGGGGTCATAAAGATGAATTTCTTTAAAATGAAGCGGTTCAGGCTGAGCCAGAAGTTGAAGGTAGAAGGTACAGATTCGGAAAATAATCAAACACCAACAGCGGAGGAGTTAAAGGATGGTAGTATGGAGTTCGAGCAGAAGTTAGGTGCTGCAGATGGAGGTCTGGAGGAAGAGGAGTATGATGATGATGATTTTGTTTCCATTGAGATCAAGAGGAGGCTTAAGGAGATGAAGAAGAACAGTTTTATGGTTCTCATACCAGAGGAATCCAGCCTAGAAGAAGAAGAGACAAGCTCCAGCGAATGGAGGGAATCAGAAATGGAAGATGGGTATACTTGGTCCGATTTTGATACATTGTACATTAGGTACTGCGAGAGGATGCTGTTCTTTGATAAGTTGATTGCGCAGAACATTAAAGAAGCAGGTATGCAGTGCATTTATTTTCAATCAACATTTAATGTAGATCCCTTCATTTCTCTAGAGATTCATCTCTTTTCAGCCACTTCAATACTTGATATACCATACTAGGTGATACGGTAAACAAGTTTCATTGACTGGGTGTTAAGTTACCAACGACCTGATCTTACTTTGAAAGGTCAATATTGGAGTCTATTAAGAAGCCATAAATTGTGTTAAAATTGACTTCCATTGATTTGTATCATTGTTTAATATTTTAATATGCATTGCAAGATCTCAGTTACCTATTTTCTAAAATTCAAGAAATGATTACATGCTAATTATATGCAAGATCGTTTGGTAAATATAACTAAGTCATTTGAATGGAACCTTCATCTGTCTTTTATAATTGTCCATTAGATGTTTTTAATATGCCGAGTCTTTTGCTGGGCAAGGTCTTTGTTGTATGGTTGTATTTTGTGCCAATTATATGGATCATTAGATTTCCTATAAGCTTATTATTATTTTATGTTTGAGAAAATATCGTTGGATTCATTAAGCTTTAGTTATGGGCTATTCTAATTTCTTACAATCCTACAATGTCATCTCCAGTCTTATAATATGGTTTTCCTGTTTCCCTGATAGTTGTGTTTATCTGTTTAGACAATGACTTAGCTTAAAATTCAAGTTTTGTTAGGCACATAATACTTTGTTTCATTATAATTAAATTATAATATGCATTCAGGATGAACAGTTTACTGTGAAAAAACTAAAGATCAATCAGTGCAGTGATACCTTTATGCATGATTTTGACTCTGTTTAACAGATTGCTTCTTTTGATGCTATTGTAAAGCATTGTTTTAAAACTTTGAATATTTGATTGGAAATCTGCTATGTATCAGAATGAATTTCTTGAAAATTGGAGATCTGAAGCATCTGCTTGATTATGCGACTTTCTGAAACTTTGTTTTTTAATTGACAATCTTTGGAAATATGTTTTATTTGCTGTCTAGCATGATTTATTTTTATACAGGAACTGTATTATATTGATGATGAAAAATATTCTATGCAGAATCATGGAACATCTCAAATCAATCGCCTAGATCTGCACGCAAAAAGCTATCTCTGAGCCTTAAGAACCTCTCTTTCAAAAAGAGAGATGAGTTTCAAGATGATTGCGAACACCTGCAACGACCATTGGATGATGATCCATTTCATAATATTGAAACTGCTTATGTTGCCCAGGTCTGTTTGTCGTGGGAGGCACTTCACTGCCAATATATGCAACTGAGCCAATGCATCGCATCCCAGCCTGAGAATCCAACCTCATATGGTCATTCTGCTCAGGTGTTTCAGCAATTCCAGGTTCTTCTGCGTAGGTTTATTGAAAATGAACCCTTTGAGCATGGTTTGAGGATCGATATCTATTCCCGAATTCGATCTTCCTTGCCTAAATTGCTTCAGGTTCCCACAATCCAAGGCATGTGCATTGATCTGCTCTGATCGACTAAACTAATTATTTTTTAACTCTTCACATTGGCAAAATTAATTCTAATATGACCATCTTCTTCTATATCATAGTCTAGTTAGCTAATTTTTGTGGCTACTGAATATGCCTGATAGGATTTGTTGTAGATCTTGTGCTATATTTTTACTACATTGTTATTTTTCTTCTGTCTTTATATTGGAAGTGACCCTTACATTCTAAGACTTGACTAGGGCCTGAACTAGTTCTTGCATCTTCTGGTTCTTTATGATTTTACATACAAATTCATCTATATTGATTTATAATTAACTGGGGTGTATGTTTTCTCTCTCTTAATTCACATATCTAACGCTATGGATATTTTGGGAGTCTTGTATAAAATTTGCATGCAAAACTGATTTACTTGATGTATATTGGTTGGGGATTTGGTGCTAGATTTTTTTTTTTTTTCTTGGTTATTTAACCTACAAAATTAGATCAATGATCAAATTATAAGGAGAGAGAGGAATCAAAGGTTGGTGATATAGATACAAGAGTTAAAATGTCACATGGGATTGGCCTTTTGTTCACTTATAATCTTGGTTTGGACACTTGTACCTTTTGGTGGAGAGAGAAGAGGAGTGGTGGGACAACAAGAGAAGAATACAATGAGAGATAAGGGATTCCTGTAACTACTTATTTGATGGAGACATGGAGTAAATTAATTTATTTCTTATCTTCAAGTTACTTTAAATGCTCCTATTTATAGAACATATGAACTTTATGTAATGTATATTTAAAACAAGAACTTATTGAAGTACAAATTGGATAAAATAAATTTAAGATTATGGATTGGCAATAAGATTTATAGGTGCTTGTCCCCGATGTGGGGTGATTGGCCGGCTTTTGATGAGGCGAAAAGGCAAAGCAGTAGATTTTTTTTGGTCGAACTAAGTTGTAGTTGTTTGATCCATTTCATGGAATATCTCTTGGTTTTGGTCAACCTTATGACATCATTTGCTATCAAAAATTATAATTATAAATGATTTTACATGGATATTTAGATAAACGAGATCTTCACGTCCCTTCTACTTGTCATGTGCCATCAGGGATGGTATAGTATTAACTTCATTTACATTTGTGCTTGGTTCTTTCCTCAAGCTACTCTCTTGCCACCTTCTCATCTATTTGGGGAAGGCTCAATCCGTTGTTGTTATTACTAGATCGGTTCTTCTCTTCATTGATGATGGCTTGTAAGCTTTGCCTCACTGATATTCCTAATTGGGATGGCTTCAACTTCAGACTTGGACTTTTATAAAGTCATATGATATATTTCTTCTCCAGCTAATTCTCTAAGGCTAAGGCATGCCTATGAAATTTCATAGAAGTCTTGCATAAAGTGTATATACTATAGTCTCAATTGGTGTCATTTGATCTAGCGATCATCATTATAGACAATTGCAGAAAATTCTGCTCTAAGTAATCTTTTGAATCCCTCCTGCATCAATCTTGACATATCACAACATATTTGCGTGATTAGTGAAACGCCTGACTTACAGAGTTATTAATTATTCTATCATGATATGGGTAAAGATCAGGTGAAAGTTATTCTAGCCAAGTTTGGTTCTAAGTTGGCTTGATTCAATCTAAGCATGGCTTGTTTACATCGATTTGGGTTTGATTTGATCTCAATTAATTTTTTATATTGAAAGGAAAATTATTAGTACAACATATTTACATACACTTGGACATTTATCATGTATCAATGCTAACATGTGACACAGATGCTTGACAAATCTATAATTAAAAATGTAGGACATAGACATTATAATATTATATTAAAAAATTATATAGTAGTTATGAAAATTAAATAAATATGATATGAATTCATATAAAAATAAATTTATTTTAATTGCTCAAAAAATAAAATGTAAATTTAAAGTTATTTAACATCTTAAACTCATTTAAAGAAGAAGTAATCACATGATATTATAGATGGTTAGTTTAGAGTTGAGAAAATAAATTATTTTCGTTAAAAAAAAAAGAAAAATAAACATTAGAAAAAATCTTTAAAAAATAGTCTTGATTTTGCTGAAATTAGATCAATTTGTCAAAGTACCGGTCTCGAAACTCTCAAGGATCTATACTGCTACTTTGCTGAACCGTGGGCACATTGTTTCAATGGCAAATCACCTAGATATTATACTGCCCATAAAGGCTTTTTGATTAAGAGAAGCCAACTTTGTATTCCTAACTTCTCCCTTCATAAATATTAATAAAATAAATGCATGCAGGAGGTCTAACTAGTCACATAACTCTTGAAAAAATGTTATCGTTGTTGCAAGCCCGATTCTAATGGCCTAAGCTATAATGTAATGCCAGTCGGTTTATATAATGATGCCCTGGTGCTTAAGCCTACATGGGAACATCTTAAAACACTAGGGTCTACCCCTCGTAGCTAATTTGCAATTTTATTTGGGAGGATTTTTTGTACGACTCAAATACTCAACTACTCCACATGACAGTGCCCCGTTCAATATTGTTTATGCTAAACTTCCTAACCACACTGGACGCGGACGTCCTACCAAAAATATTAAAGCAAGCTGCTAAGACTATGACTGAAAACTTTATTGCAATGCTGTGTGACATTAAAAACAATTTAAGAACTTTTTTTAGGCAATACAAACGGTATTCTGACCTCCACTGTCAATGCAAGGTTTTCAGCATTGGGGATTTATTCATGATCGACAGGACTTGAGCATTTCTTACACATTTAATGCATAGGACATTTACGCCTTCCGCCACCTGACCTGATAGTAACGTACAAGTTCTTGAACTTGAGTGGAGTTTTGTTAGACCGGTCCAGCCGGTCTGACAGGACTGGCTTACGCGAACAGAGGCGGACTTTTCCGCCTCCTGTACATGCCGAACGCCCGCCTGGGTGAGCGTGAGTTTTTTAGGAAGGTTTTTTTATGGATTTAGGAGGGAAATTTGAATGTAGGGACTTTTTAGGGATTTTATTTTGATTTGTATGCATTAAGTAGTTTGTTTTTCTTGAGTTAGGGCATCTTGAATTTGGCTGAATTTGAGATCCCTTAGGTTTTCGGGCTCTAGCGGCCTCTAGAGATTTGAGAGAGAAAGATACTCCTCTCGAATAGAGGATCAATTGTATCTTGGTATTTTCCGTTTCCCTTTCATCAAATAATACAAATTATCTACTGTTTCGTGGTTTTGTGTGGATTTTTGTGGAGAATTTTCACTGTTTTCCGAAGATTGATAGGAAATACGAGATCTACAAGTGTTTCCTATCAAGTTCTAGTGCAAAAGAGAACTTATACAGCTTTTATCTTTTATGCTTTTTTTCCAGCTTATTATTTCCAGTCTCTAGCTGCTGTTTCTACTCTCTTAAACTCAACGTTACATGTTGAGATGTTTGCCTTTACTTTTTCCTCCAACTGTTTCGACTCCAAAGGAGTGGTGATACCTTTTGTAAAGGATATTTTTATTATTAAAAAATATGTTGTTGTTGAGTTGTTACCCCACGGTGCTATTGCTTCTTTGTTTTCCCCCTTTCCCTGTCTGTTTCATTCTAGCTATTTTGTGTTATACCTTAACGCATTTTTCTTAGCATTTTTTTCCAATGAAAACCTCATCCCTGCACCATTTAGTTTTTATATATTCTCATTGAACTGATCTCTTGGGTTTCTTTTAAATGTGGTTGCAAAATAATCAAAGTGATTCTTGTCCTGCATAAATAGAAAATTTTCTTATAGCAATTACGTTCCTTTGCTATGACAGATCATTTTATGGTTTGTGCAGGTTCTGTTGACAAAGCAAATTACAGTGAATTTCCAGACCCACCTGTTCTTGCTGCAGAGCTCTTGAATATAGTGGAAAGTGCAATTTTCACTTTTCATGATTTTCTGAAAAGGGATAAGAACAAGTCCTGTATTTCTATGAGCTTATTCAAAGGTCATAAGCATGATGCAAGCTCCCTTCAACAGGTTCAAGCATCTCTTGAAAAGGTATTCTCAAGCCTTATTTATACTTACATGCCATCTAAATCTTGATATAGTTTATGCTTTTACACAGATTCTTCATATTTATCGTTATAGTCCTCAACTCCTTTAACCCTATAAAATTGGCCACCATGGTATATTTGATCCTAAAATTAAGGGAGAAATAACGTTATATTTTTAATATCGGATTAAGGAATAAGGATTACACAGGAAGGTTTAATGCAATTTGGAAACTAGAAAATCAATACTAAGTAGTTGTTATTTCGCCTAAATTAACTACAATTTGATGCAAGCTACATGTCATAGGTTGGGTGAATGGAAGAATATAAAGCTGGTATGTATAAATAGAGCATAGAATGATTAGGAAGAAGATTAAAAAACTAGTATTGATTGGATCTCATTTGATTAGGGGATTACTCTGCTTTGTTTTGTTTCTTGGTTCAAGTTAGAGATATTCTAAAAAGACACTAGATAGCAAGAGAATTTTGAGAGCGAGGCCCAGTTGTAGGATGATAGGATTTGGAATACAATTTTGCTGTGTTTTCAATAATGCCAACAAGAATTAAAAGCTCTTGATTCTTCAATTTATATATTTATTTATGTAGGGGAAGGTTTGTTTATATAGGAGAATATAGCAAACAAACATAGATTATAAGGGTAAGATTTATTACTCCAGTTGAACAAAACACCTAATCTTATTATTTAGAATAAGTAAGCTCTAATTAATACAAGAGTGAAAAAGATTAATTTTTATATTTATTTATAACATTTTATCAGGACTAATGGATTTTTAATGTTTGCTGTATGTTCATTTTAAAATTAACTCCAAGCATGGTTAGCTAACAGGAATGATATGGAGATTTATATGCATTAGTGTGAAGAATTGGGTGTTAAATCTGCAATACAAGATTTGAATGAAATACTTATAAATACCCCTTAGAGTCTTACAATGTTCTGATGGATTAGCCACCATTAATAATACATTACATTAGATATGGAAATATGGAATGACTATTTGCAATCGTTTCTTTGCAAAAGTTCATCTGTCATATGACCTGTCAGATAATTATTTACTTTTCATTTGTTCTGGTCGGTTATTTGTTGAAGTTTAAAATAATTTATTCTACAAATCTTCTTGAAATTGTGATTTTTCTTTCAATTAATGTTATTTGAAGCTTTTTAAGTTAAGGTTAGCCTTTGTTATCTTGTTTGTTGTAAGTGTCGTGGAATAATGGAAAAATTTTTTTTTTCCCATCAAGACCTAATTTAGTAATGCTACATAAAGTAGGATACGGTAATGAGAATGTGAGATGATTAGTTTTTATCAAGATTTTTCAACCGTGAACAAGTTATAAGGCCGGTTCAATCCAGCCTAAAAATCGCTTCTGCATTAAACCGGACTGAACCGGCTAGAGCCATCGATTCAACCAACGAACTGGCCCCGATTCCTTTTTTAATTAGTATGAAAATTTTATAATAATTATTTTGCCCCAAAACACCAACTAAATGTCATCACATGGCCTCACCATTCCATATGAGTTCTTTTTTAATAAGTCTAATCCCTACCAATGTCTCCTATCGTATGAACATATAGTGATCCAATTTATGCGACTGCAGAAGGAAATGAAAATAAAAGAGCTTTCAAAGAAAAAAGAATGGAGGAAGTGCAGACCTTCAACCCCATCAGAAGCGGACCTATTTTTAGCGCTCATTGACGTCAAAGTTGTTTCCAGGGTTCTGAGGATGGCTCACATCAGCAAAGAGCAGCTTTTGTGGTGCGAAGAGAAGATGAGCAAATTGGATCTTTCAGACAACAAGCTGCGCCGGGATGCCAGCCCAGTCCTTTTCCCTTGCTGATCATAACCATTACAGGTGCCATATAACTCATTACCCCCCTTATATTTTTTTTTTTTCTTCTATGGGAGAGTTTTATGAAGATTTACTCGCTACAAATATTCTCCTGTAAAATAGGAGAAATTATTAGGTACGAATTATGTATTGTAGCTGTGGTCACTGTGTAATTTTGGTTGAAATATGCAGAGTACACAGTTTTTTTAATTATTTGTAGGATCTGCTATTACTTTCTGGTGTTATAAAAAGAAGTTATGTTGCATGGTAGAATTGGGTGCAACGTTTGTTTTAATTCTATAAATTTGGGCAAAAATTAGAGAGCGTGGAGATTTTTTTAAGTGAAAAACAGGAGGTTTGGTGAAAGATGAGGAATTCCATTGATTTTGGGTGTAGAGTTTGAAAAAAAGCCTTTTGAATGGAGAAATTATTCTATGCGGACAGCGGTTTGTTCGAAGGCGAGTCAGAACGTATCACATCACCCAGTGCACAATGGTACACAATCACGACACACAATGAGTAATATGGCGCATTATGATTCGTCTCCGGACGGCGTCCGTATCCGCACAGAATAAATTTACCTTTGAATGAGAATAATATTGTCATCAAGTTAATGATGATGGTGATCTTGAAGGATCTAATGATGGTGAAGTAGGCTTTTGGTGTAATATCATTTTTTTTATGTATAGTATTAATTTCAAGATAGATTTTATGATTAAAATTGAATATTAGCCTTCAATTTTGGTGTGTTATAAATTATAATGCCAATTTGAAATTGTACATGATTTTAAGTTTTTGTGGTATGAGTTCAGTTTGATTAAAATTGATTTGAAATAATTTACAATTTGTTAATTTTTGTTGATTTTGTAATATTGTTCAAAACCCTAGTTTCTAAAATTTCTGATGAAAATTGAGAGTTTCACCTGATATTTTTGAGTTTTTAATGGAATTTTATGTTAAATACAAATATTTTTTTTTTTAAAAACTAACTAATATTGAAGAAATAGAATAAATTTGAAAAGTTTTAAGATATAAATCAGCAGTTATAAGCCATAAGATTATTTTCGATAGGGTGCAAATTTGGGTTCATAGGTCGAGTAGGTATTTGCTAAAAAATAATTCAACATGAATACATTCTACTCATTTGATCCATGAAAATAAGATTAATAGCTTTACAATATGAAGAACTTATAATATCAATGAAAATAAGATTATTATATTTTTTTATTGCTTTATTTCATGTTTATAAATAAATGTTTTTATCTCAATATAGTATTCAATTCAATGATTATTACAATTTTAACTTTGTAATAGTTTCAACCAAGGTTGCTCTCATAGCTTAACACTACAACCCCCTATGCAAATTCAATAGAGCAAAAATTAACTACAAAGCATTGGGAAATTATTAGATCCGGAGCGCGTACGCCGTCCATAGCCCATTGAAAATGCTCCCACATCACCTTCTATTCGGTACTGAGCTCGGTACTAAGCACTGCTCAGTTTTAAGCAGTACTGAGCTCAGTAGAGCTCATTACCTCAGTACTGAATAACATGGCTGCATCTTATTGGTCTCTGGATGGTGAGATATGTACGTTATCCGGACCCAATAATTTCCCCAAAGCATTGCTCAAGAAACTTTTCCCAGTGTAATATGACCCACAATATAAGATCCAAATCCCCAAACAGTTAGTATTAAGGACAAAATCTTGAATCCACCCATTGGGTCATGTAAAAATATTACTGCTGCAATGCTAGTAATTGGCACCCTCACTGCATTAAGAACACCTGCAAGCAGTGTAGAAGCTAGAAAAAGAACAGCAGTTCCTCCTAAAACTCCAAGCTGAAATGTAATAGCAGACCAAACCAGCACCATGTAATATGAAATCTGTCCTGTCTTAAAGCTCTTTGCTTCCATTTTCATTTCATAAAAGTCTTTGTTCACAGCCACACCAATGGTGGTGAACACAAATGCACAAAAGGAAACCATCAATTGCTGTTCAAGCACAACATGGAAAGATCTTCTACCAAGAATTTTCACAAAGAGAAGCTCTGATAATGCAAAAATCAAGCCATGGAGAGCAGAGCCCAAAATGTCCCAGATGAATCCAAGGGTGTATTGGGAGTTGCTGATGCCTGGATACCTATCGGAATCGGAATCGAGTGCAATTATAGCGGCGCCGGCGGTGATGAGGATAATGGCATTCAAGGAAGAAAGGTTTATTTGGTTCTTTACAATGAGATAGCCAAAAAGAGCAGAAAATGCTAGAGAAGTAGCAGCCAAAAGAGATGCTGTGGAGGCTGGGAGGTAAGCATAAGCCCAGGCATACATGAGGTTGTCAGCAGCACTGAGGAAGCCCAACAAAATATACGACAGGAAGAGCTTTAGGGTTAGCGGCGACGGCGATCTATTGCCGAAAATGTAGATAGGGGTCAGGAAGATCGCGGTTAAAGGCCATCCTGCAACAGCCACCCAGGAAATAATCCATTTACTTTTTCCACCATTGTTATAGTATAGACGAGATAGAATACTTGAAGCTGGAAAAGCAGAAAGCATAAAGCTGCTACTTATAGTTAATTGAATCCAGAAGAAGATGGATTTCTTCCTGTAAGTTTCCAGTGCCAATGTCATGAGTTCAGATATTTTACTTCTCAATGACAGAGAAGATTCTGATGCTTGTGGAGCATTTCCTGATTTATATCAAATAGAATAGTCTAATTCAAGTCAGAGAAACCATATTTCACTTGCCAAACATTGCAATCTATTAGAGCAAACAAGAAGAGAGTAATTAAGATAGAGAAAATATGCATTTTTGAAGTATATCATCATTTCATGAATTTCAACTTAAATTTTACTACTCATTGTTGGTCTAACATAAAACATAAATCTTCAACATGGGCAATTGCACTTTTATGTTCTAGTTGTCTCTATACCATACGAAAAATCGTAATTGAGTTGTGTGGTTCAGTGATATGTTGATAATAGTATCATTTTGATAAAAACGCATCGATGAAACACGGAAAATTTAGCTCACCGTATACTAATTAAAAAATGTTATGTTATCGAGAATGATCCATGGTGATTTCAATCTTTCTTTTTATAATTGATTATTGTCACCATCAACTAGCTCAACAAAACTGTTGACATGAAGATGCCATCAAAATAAAAATAAAAAAAGCAAGAGTTTTAGCTTTTCTTAGCACTAGGCATCTAGATCCATAAAATAATGTGAATTAGATTTCTATGCGAAAATCGGGAAAACAACCATAGGACATTGTGTAGTTGCAAGAATCCTCTAGCTTTTGAAGTTTTTCAAAAGCAACCTACCCCTAAGCAGTTAGAAGGAATTCAAAACAAACTGTCATATAGATAATTAAAAAGAGAAAAGATGACGAAGAGAGTGGTTGATCATTGTGCACTTTAGTTGCAAAATTAGCAGAGGTGGTAAGACAAGTCTGATGACATTCATAGATAGCTCGAATGGCGAAAAATCTTTAAGCATCATCGACATGGGCTATAAGGCATTTCTTGCTATTGTGACAAGCAAGAGATTCATCGACAAGGACTGCAGTGAGTGATTCGTTTATTCTTGAAAGGCTTTTAGAAGTAGGGCAACTAATGTTGTTATTACAACATTTACAACAATCAAGATTTGTATCTATAAAGAGCATAACGAGCTTATCCATTTCAAACTAACTGAAACTATTTCTTGCTCTTGTTGCCTCAAATATTTATTCCCATAACTCATTGGCCTTCACTTAAATTTTGCAATTTCATTAACACATATGGTACCTTTGTGAAATTTACATGATACTAGAAAATTTGTACAAGCTCTTGGAGTACATATTTTATTTGTTAAAGTAATATTATGTTATACTTATATGATATAATAGTACTTTTTGTATTATGATATTTGTCTCATATTGTTTAATTTGTAATAAATTATGTATGATTTTTTAATGCTTCGTGTAATTTTTAAAATAGCACATGTCACACTATACATTACAACTCCACAGGACCTCTGTGTTAGAGTGTGTTATTCATCATTGATAAGTAAGATGCCACATCATTTATATTAGTAGCCAACTATGATCCTTAGCTTTATTAGCCATCTTATGTTTTGCTTAATTACTCCTTGTAAAAAGATATTTCTCTAAATTAAACTTTAGGGTCATACAAAGAAATACTCAAGGCTTGAGGATCAACAAGGGATACTAACGACGATGATTACAAGAATGATGATGATAGTGATGATAACATAGGTGGTGACTTTTGTTGTGAGCATCATCATGAGGTTGGCACCCCATTTGGCCTTCATGGTGATGAGTTCAATGAAGATGGAGCTTTTGGATCATTTTATGGTAGTTGGTACCATGAGTTGGGTACTTATGTTGGATTTTAATCTGGCTATGAAAATGGCTCTTAATACGAGCTTGGCCCCTCAGTTGAAAGGCACTTGCCTTAATCTTAAAGTCTAGAGTAGGCCCTAAGGTCTGGCTCTAGGAAAGAATCTTAAAGTCTAGATTTATCTGGAGTTTGGAAGGGCCTTAGTGACCTCATACAAAAATGAGGACAACAATTGCCCAAACCTAAAAGCCACTCCTAGTAAGGAGAAGGCAGAGGAGAAACCAAATATGAAGAAGGGCAAGAAGATATTTCAAAGAGCTTTTTGGGCAGACTCGGCTTCTAATTCGTTAAAATTGAAAAGGAGGAGGAAGTCACCATCTTGTGCTTAATGGCCGATAATCTTGATCAGTCAGATCAAGAAGAGATATGTAACTTAACCTATACTTAATTATTAGAAGTTTCTAAAAGAATACATGATGCATATAGGAAGCTAAAGAAAATGCATGCTAAATCTTAATCTTGAAATGCAAGAATTGTAAAAAGAATATGAAATCATTAGGAAAGATCATGCATTGATAGATAACAACTACATGAGCTTACTTAATGAGTTTGATAACTTAAATAAGGAGAATAATGTTTTAAAATCATTCTATGCTTATTTGGAAAAAGTTGTTAAAAGATTTAAGGATGAATCAAAGAACAAAGAGCACTATTTAAATTTTGATAAGAAAATTTTAAAAGATATGAACACATTTTTGAAATTGAAAGTGCAAGCTCTTGAGGAAAATAAGAAACCCCTAACGATTAAAGATTTTATTAATCTTATTTAGTATTCCAAATTTTTACAATCAAGAAAGATAGAGTAATCATATAAGATTAAGAAATTCATTTCCTGGAGATAAATGTTTTTCTTGTGTGATGACTAGACATATAGCGCACACTTGTACCTTATATAAAAAGACCCATTTAGTGTGGAAACCAAAGATGCATAAACTTAGATATATCATACATGAATCTATTTTTAATTTTCCAAAAGGATAACCTAAATATGTTTGGGTTCTCAGGTTTAACATTTGATAATTTTATAGGCACGCTCTTATACAAGGAATCGTGAGAGCATTTGGTACCTAAACAGCGGTTGCTCAAAGCATATGACTGGAGATACTAAGCAATTTATATCACTATAAGCCAGAAGTGAAGGCAGGGTTACACTTGGAGATAACACCACTATGAAGGTGGTTGGATCAGGTATGATTGAAAACTTGCAAAACTTTTTCATTGAAAATGTGTTATTTGTAGAAAGCTTAAATCATAATCTGTTGAGTATTAGCCAACTATGTGATAAAGGATACTGTGAAATTTTTCCCAATTAGCTACATATTAAGCTTAAATGGTAATAATGTTTTGTATGTTTTAATGGAAAATAATATTTATATGCTAAATTTAAATTGTATAAAAACTCTTGATGCTTTTTGTTTGAAAACCATTTCCGATGAGTCATAATTATGGCATAGGAAGATTTGTCACTCTAACATGAAAACTCTTAGAAGACTTACCTAAAAGAACTTAATGAGAGGTAAACAAAAATTAGACTTTCTAAAGGATCATCTTTGTGATGCTTGTTAATTAGGAAAATAGGTGAAGTCCTCTTTTCAGTCCATTAAGGATCTTAGAATTAGTAAGCCTTTAGAGATTTTACATATTAATCTTTTTGGACCTGTTGAAACTGTAAGTCTAGGAGGGAAGGTATACATATTTATGATAGTGGATGATTTTTTTAGATTCATTTGGGTTAAATTCTTATATCATAAGAGTGAATTATTTGAGGAGTTTAGAGATTTTTTGACTTGGATTTAGAGGAAATTAGGGTGTGAGATCTTAACAATTCAAAGTGATCACAACGGTGAATTTGAAAATAAAAAATTTGAGGATTTTTGTAATGAAAAAGGAATTAATCATATTGTTTCTACACCTCGAACTACTCAGTAGAATGGGGTAGTCGAAAGAAAGAACATAACATTAATAAAAGTCGCTCGAGACATATTGGTGGAATATTCACTTCCTAAATATTTTTGGGCTGAAGCGGTTAACATTGCATGTTATGTTCTGAATAGGGTGAACATCAGGTCAAAATTAAACAAAACACCTTATGAGCTTCTTAAAGGGAGAACACCTAATTTTTCATATTTGCATGTTTTTGGATGTAATGTGTTTATACACAATAATGGAAAATCTACCTTAGGAAAATTTGATCCAAAATTAGATGAAGAAATTTTTTCTTGATACTCTAGTTTTGGAAAATCTTACAAAAAAATCTTTGTAGTTGAAGAGACCACACATATTATTTTTGATGAATATGGAATTTTGGAAGAGCCAAATTTGGAAGAGGATGAGGTAGAAAACAACTCCCAAAAGAATAAAAATATTATTTTGGATGAAAAGCAGGAGATAGAAAAACCGTTGCATAAAGATTTGAGATTTTCTAAAAACCACCCAAAAGAATTGATTTTAGGTGAACCTAGTGAGGGTGTTAGGACTAGGTGTGGACTAAGCAAAGAAATCAATCATTTTGCCTTTGTATCTATGATAAAACCCACAAATGTAAATCAATCACTTTCAGATGAATTTTGGATTTTGTCAATGTAAGAAGAATTAAATCAATTTATGAGAAATGATATTTGATAATTAATTACAAGGCCAACGGATCAAAGTGTAGTTAGAAATAAGTGGGTATTCAAGAACAAAATAAATGACTCAGGAGTTGTCATTAGAAATAAGGATAGATTGGTGGCTAAGGGATATAATCTGATTGAATGGATTGATTTTGAGGAAACTTTTACCCCTGTAGCTAGACTTTAAGCAATTAGGGTTTTGTTAGCCTTTACCTATTTTAAAGGATTCAAATTATTTCAAATGAATGTTAAAAGCTCCTTTTTAAATGGGATGATTCAAGAGGATGTTTATGTTGAACAACCTTCAGGTTTTAAAAATTCAAAATGCTTAAATCATATTTTTAAATTGAAAAAGGCATTATATGGATTGAAATATGCACCTAGGGTTTGGAATGAGAGGTTGATCACTTTCCTTCTTGATAGATATTTTGAAAAATGAAGTGTGAACACCACTCTCTTTTTGAAGAAATTAAGAGATGATATACTCATTGTACAAATTTATGTTGACGATATCATCTTTGTATCTAAAAATAAAAATCTATGTGATGATTTATCCAAAACAATGAGTAATGAATTTTAGATGAGTCTAATGGGAGATTTAAGTTACTTTCTAGGCTTTAGCATTAAGTAAATTGAGGAGGGAATATTTCTTAGTCAGTCAAAATATGTTAAGGATTTCTT